AGCTTTATCCTTTTTCTCATGCCAAAATGTCATAAAACATTCTACATACAGCTTTTCATCCCACTTGTTCGTTCAAGAACAAAACAGATCAAGCTGCAGAATAGTGTAAAAATCCTGGGAACCATTCACAGGCCTTCTGACCCCATCAGAGAGTTGGTACTGAGGCCACACTTAATTACACAAAATTTCAAGATGTCTCTTGCTTAGGGGATCCCCTCCGTAGTAAGTCCATTTAGAAAGAATAAGGCCTAGTGGACTCTCGGCCGAAATCTTACTTCCCTGGGTACCCATTGGCAACAGGAGCCCCACTGGTCTCTTGTCCATCCTCACGGGACCTAGTCACCCATTCTTGGATAGAGTCTATGAGAACCAATGCCCGTATGGCTTTTACAGAGGATCTTGTAACCGAAGCCCAAACACCTACAGTACCATGGCTGAACTTTCTCCCTGTGTCTGGAGCTCACTGCCGTGGAGTCCTCTTCCATTGCCAGACCTCCAGGGCACCACAGGTTGAGACACCTCTACAGCCTGAGGAGGGGTGCACCTTCTCTCTTCCTGGGTCCTTCTCAGGGGCTTGGTCCTAGAGAGGTAGAACCAGGGCCAGAGTAATTCGAGTCCCGCGTTGGGCACCAAAATTTGTTACCCAGTTAGGGTTTGTGCCCTGGAGCAGCCGAGCCAATGAAACGTGCTCCATCTCAGAAAGAGAGAGAAAGTTTATTAGGAGGTGACACCAGTGGGGAGCCCAACAGCAACATGGGCTGTCTTCATGGAGTTTCGAAAGGCAATTTCTGTATCAGAGCTTATATATCATTTTTGCAAGGCTTACATAGTGTCCTCAGACAAGTTGCCCACAGATGGTCAGATGAGCATACGTCACAAGACAATTTTAAGAAATTCTTTATTAGGCTGAAAATATGCATGCCGAACACCTGAACTCTAATCTTTGTTTGTAACAGAAAAAAAAAAAAAAACTTACATAAAATCTCTTGGCTAGTGGAAGTGGCCTGCCAAGTTTACTGTGATCAAGATAAGGAGCAAGAAAGAAGGAAAGTTGCAGATCAGAAGTGCCAGGCAGCCATCTTAGCTGCCACCTTGCAGGCTGAAGTCCAACCCACAAGAGAAAAAGAAAAGGAGGGAAACCAAGGCCACAAGAGCTGAGAAGCCCCACACCGCTTTGGAAAGAGACCAGTGCAGCTGGAGTAATAAAAAAAGGGCATTGCAAGTGAGAGGGTACAAAATACAAGCAAAAAAACTTAGAGGTGACTTGGAGTATCGTTATGGCGTTAGTTATGTCAAGCTCTCAATCGCTCATTCTGAAAAAGAAAAACCGTTTTGAGGTATTAGGGTCACACCAGGAAGGGGCCCAATGACAGAGCCAGCAACATGTTCATGACCAGGCCCATCGGCAGAGCTGGTGGTCATAGATGGCAGGGCCAAGAGGAATGTGTCCTGAGGGGTCGAGGAGTCGGCCCTGAGGGTTGAGAAGGGCCTCTCCTGAGGGGGTTCAGAGAAGCCTGTTCTCAGGGGGCCAAGAAGAGGCCTGTCCTCAGGGGGCTGAAAGGAGGCCTGCACAGTCTAGAGGAGCTGAGAGAGCTGTCCTGCACTGAAGAAGGTAAACTGCCTGCGTGCTTCCTGATCCTCATCCTGAGCTGTGGCCTGTTGATCCTGATCCCGAGTTGTACCCTCTTCCTTAATAAACCACTGAACTGTAAGTTTGGTCTGAGTTCTTTGTGGCCATGGCAACAGATTATTGAATCCAGAAGAGAAGCAGAGGGCTGTAGGGAGTACGGCTGGTGTCAGAATTGGGAAAAATTTTGGAAGGTGGAAGTATGTCTGACTTCTACCTCATGGGAATCAGCTGTGGGCTGATCCTGATCATTATCCCTCTGTGGTGGGCAGGTTTAGACACTACTACTAAATGCCATTTTTACACATCAACTGTCTCCGACATTTGAAAGCCTGCGAGACTGAGTGACTTTTTCTGCCTATCAGTCCCTTTTTATAGTCAGAAAAACCATGGAGATTTCCATACGGGTCGTAGAATGTTATTTCGAAGTACTAGCAAAGGTTATGGACGGTGTATATCAAT